AAACTATTGATTTAGTAATTTTCTAAACTAAAATTCTCTGACAGACGTTAGTTATATATATTTGCGACAACCCGCTGGAAGATCGTTGTTGATAAATGCTTTCTGGAGAATGTCATGTAAAAACAAAACAAAGACCCCATATAGTCTGTCTATATTTCTGAGATGAGGTATTATGTACATTATTTACATTATTATGTACATTATTTACATTATTCGGACTATTGCCCTCATCTTTGTCGCCATATTTATCACAACGTTTCAGCCGTTGTACACTCCGGCCTTCTTCGGGTGGTTGGAATGTCGAACTGAACCCTTTATTTCGCTCACCGGGGTAGACTGTTCTAGTTCCACGTGCCATCTATCCTCAAGGACACATGGCACAGTAGATAAAGGCGTTGGTTAGATCCAGTGACAGGACCCAAAGAGTGTGAGTTCAATACCCAGTTAAGGCAGTGGAGAACTTTCAGAGGGAAATTAACTGGAGATAACTGATAACTGACATCCATCAAACATGGCACGTGGCTCATCTCAGAAATATAGACAGACTCTGATTTTATAACATATTTATGTTATAATTTTTTTTTTTAAATAATTATATCTGCTCTACTTTGTATTGAGCACTCTTTTAAGAATAGTAATTGTTGGTTATTTGAATTCATTCCATACACCAATTATATACTTGTATGTATATATATATATATATATATATATATATATATATATATATATATATATATATATATATGCACGTATTAATGCGAATAAATCAAATAACTAGATATTAGCAACCGTATATATGTGCGTTAGCGTGCATACACAGGTAAGCGAATAAATATTTACTCACTTAAATTTAAGATCTAAACAAAACAGTGCTCTATGTGGTTAGAGATAGCTAAGAATTATATAATTATAAATATACATATACCTGCGTTCAAAGTTCAACTTTGTTTCTTTGTTCTACAAACTCATCAGGCACGAATTATTACTTAGAAAGTAATATATGTATATGTGATAAAAAAATAGATTTAAGGTGCACAAAGTTTAGAGTTAAAAGCGCTCAAATCAAATATGTAAATATCAAAATGCGGTCAAGACTAAGCGGCGACAGTCTGTTTCATGCTTAAACGAAATCTTCAGTTCTGAATGGTGGTTCCGTGTTGGATACAGGTTCGATTCCTGTCGAAGGATACAAAATGACGTTGAAACATCGGTTCCTGTACCGTCACCGAAATTAAGCAACGTCCAACAAAATCCCTACTAGATGGGTGACTGTTTGGTGTAACGGTGTGAGGAATGGATTATGGCTCTGAATTATTAATCGGTGAGCCTAGTTCCAATTCTCATTTATATTACGCCTAAATACACTTGAAAAAGATAGAAATCCACCACTTCTCTTCCTCAGCTATGGGTTAATTAGTAAATCTTGTATCAGTAGACTATTATTATCTCCAAAATATTCTTACAATATAAAAATAATTTCTTGTTTTAAATAACGTTCAAAAGGCTGATACCCCGTAAAAAACAATCAATCAATCTGTATCTTACCAGCAAACTTCTTTTTTCTCTCTTTTTTTCGTTCTGCATTTGTTGATGGGGTTATTGTGATACTTGATATGCATTGTGTTTCTTTGATGGTTGACGAGTGTAGTCTCTTCACACGTCAGTGGTTGTTATCAAGGTTATTTTTTTAAATATCTTGTCTTCGCGCGCCATTCTGTTGTATTATGTTCCATTATTATTATTATTATTATTATTATTATTATTATTATTATTATTATTAGTTGTTATGAAACAATCGTGTATGTTCGTTCTTAAATTCAATGAAATTGTATTGATGGTCAGTCGATTGTTTTATGATTTCACATTTTATTTTGTAAATTATTTTGCCTTATCGTTAATTGTCGGACATTTGTTTTAGTTAGTTTTATGCGACTTGATTGAATTATTATCGGATAAATAGCATGTTAATTGTCGCGATGATCTAGTAAGCGTGTAACCAATGTATATAATCGAATTATCATCATATATAGGAGGCACGGTGGAGTAATGGATAGCGGCTTGGATTGAAGAATCGAAGAGCCGAGTTCGAATTCCAATCGTATCCATTACATTATAAGTAAGATAATATCCTAGAGAAAGGTGTGATTCCTCTTTTTTCTCCCTCCAGCTATGGGTTAATAGCAGGACAGACTGGGTTCTATAGCCTTGGATGGCAACTGGTCTAGGAGAAGGACAACTCTGAATTCAAACCCGTGCAACCTCTCGGCAACTCTATTGGTTTATCCTCTCCTCTGTATTGGTTTATCTACTCCTGCTAGACGTCCAAGCAGCCATAGTTCTCCATGTATTCCGCCCAGGCTCGTGGCGCACCGCGCTACACCATCATCCGATGGTACGGATGGATGCTGACGTTGTATATATATATATATATATATTGTACAGGAAACAGCACTTAGATTATTTTCCTTAATTTTCTGATTAATTATTCCTAAATCGATTTGATGCCAGTTATTATCAATTAAGGATCCTTTTATTTTCCTCTATTATCATTTTTGCTATGTGCCTTGATCCGTTCTCTACTGTGTGTCCCGATCTCCTTCCAGCTGTTTGTTCCGATCCCCTCTCTGCTGTGAGTCCCGGTCACCTTCCAGCTGTGTGTGCCGATCTCCTTCCTACTGTGTGTCCTGATCACCTGCCTGCTGTGAGTCCCGATCACCTTCCAGCTCTGTGTCCCGATCTCCTTCCTACTGTGTGTCCTGATCACCTCCCTGCTGTGATTCCCGATCTCCTTCCTGCTGTATGTCCCGATCACCTTCCAGATATGTGTCCCAAACATCTTCCAGCTTTGTGTCATGATCACCTCCCTGTTGTGTGTCTCGATCATCTTTATTTTTATATTTTAAATTTGTGTAAGATAATTATTCCCTTGATGTATTCTCTGGTTGATTTTGTTTTCTTTTTTTTTATCCCTTGCATTTTACTTCCATTGATTTTTATTCATTACTGATTATTTATTACTTTTTTGTTTCTTTTTTCTACTGATTTGTATGCATTACTGAATTTGATTTTGTTTCCTAGCCATTTTGTTCATTTCTGATTCACACCCATAAGTCATAGCTAGCATTAGTCATCCATAATACTCTAAACATATTGACGACTTGCTTTTCACCATATCTCTATATATTTCTATATTTTTGTTCTTATGGATAGTTTCATTTCATTTTCATAATCTAACTTTAATGTTACCATCTGTTACATGTCCATGTATAACTAGATTTCATCCAGTTCTTCATCTTCTATTTTTATAATCATTTTTGGAACATAATACTTTAAAAGCCACAGTTGTTTTATTCCTATTTATTTTAGTCTTTGTTGATTATGACATCAATAAAATGTTGTCATCAAATCTTAGTTAAAACAGTCTACATTTATCTTTACTCTCGTCCCTTACTACTTCATTCTCTCATTTTTATTGCTTTTGAAAGTAATGCAGATAATATCTGCTCTCTTTATGTCACTCCTTTTCCAAAATTCATCCCATCTCTTTTGTGTAGTCCATTTTTTACAGTACTGTTATAGTATATATTTTCGATAATATGTGTATAGTTTTGTTACTACCCTCCTCTTATTGTGAGTTAAAGACTGTTCAATAGTTTAACGAGACAAAGTGTTTACCTTTATATTCTATTGGTTTTCCCATCAGTTGCTTTGTCTGCCGATGATCCATTGTTGAGTACCCACTACTAATGCCTGCTCCTTTTTACTGTATCTCTTAGTCTAAGTATTTTTTGGAACAATTTGTTTTATTAGAATATCAGAGTGCGATAGTCCACATTGTCTTTAGATTACTACTTCTAGACTGATGTTTTGAAGTAATTTTCCAAATAAATAGCCGTGTTAATCTTTTTCTAGAATTCCTCTCCTGCATTTTAAAAACGTCTGTTACTATGCCATCTTTACCTGGAGCTTTTCTACGTTTCCATTTTTGATGCGCAAACGTTATATCATTTGTTGCTACTTCATATAAATCATTTGTGGCTGTTGGTAGTATTTTTATTTTTGAAGCAAACAGGTTCGCGTAGCACTCCTAGGTTATTTTTTAGATCTTGGAGCTAGATTTAGAAACATCTTCATATGGATTTAAATGCAAGTAACGTAGATGTATCTTGTGGAATGAACATTTAACATAGTACAAGCTCTCCCTTTTCCTCATATATTTAACTCTTTCTAAGTTCAGCTTTTTTTTTCGAGTCTGTTTTTTAATTTTTTCATTTTCATTTTTTTCCTATTTACAACCATGTTTCTTCTTTTTCTCTTACTAGTTCTAAGTCATCTCCCTTTGTTATTTCTATTTCCGTTTGTTTCTGAAGCTTCCTTAATTATAGTTTATAATTTGCAATTCATATTTTCGATGTTATTTCGTTATTCCACAAAGTCAGTGTTGTTATCTCTGATATCATTATGGTATGTTTTCTTTTTGAGATTCATTTTATTTTTATAAGTTAAATTCGTCTCACCAAGTTACAATTCTATGATGTCTTCTTATATTAACTATCGCCATGTTAACTATATACTTCACAGTTATCGTCAGCAGTTATGAACAGGGCTGTGGAGTCAGAGTCGGAGTCGTGGAGTTGGAGTCGGAAGCAAATAAGGGATCTCTGGAGTTAGAGTCGGAAGCAAATAAGGGATCCCTGGAGTTAGAATCGGAAGCAAATAAGGGATCCCTGGAGTTAGAATCGGAAGCAAATAAGGGATCCCTGGAGTCGTGGACTCAGTAAAACTATACCGACTCCGACGGATTCGATAAATGTATAAAGTTCCTGTAATTTAACACATTTACGGAATCCATTTATCACGGTAACGTGGACTTTTCTTTATCAGGGATCAATTCATGTTACACCGTTTCTTTGTTTATTTTTATCTCTTGTTCTCGCTGCGACGTCTTTTTTTTATTTCTTGTTAACTGTGTTTTTCCTTCTTTGTTTATTATAGCATAGATTATGCTTAGCATTCCCAGGTGATTTTTTTATTTTATTTTAGATTATTGCTAATAATACAGGTTACTCAAGTTAGGAGTGCATGCATAGGCTTTATGAGATATGTAAGCCATAATTACTTAATTACAAAGAGAGGAGTCGGAGGTGCAAAAAATGGAGGTGTCAGAGTAGGAGATGCAAAAAATTGAGGAGTCAGAGTAGGAGGTGCAAAAAATGGAGGAGTCAGAGTAGGAGGTGCAAAAAATGGAGGTGTCAGAGTAGGAGGTGCAAAAAATGGAGAAGTCAGAGTAGGAGGTGCAAAAATAGAGAATTTGGAGTCGGAGATTTTGTGTTCTTTGTAAGAAGTTAACTAATAGTTTTCCTAATTTGTTCTCGTTCCTATTCTACAAAAATCTCTCCCTCCTGGTTACTGCTTTCGTGTTGTCCCCCGCCCTCAGCCTCTAGCCTGGGATCTCCTTGATGCCATCAATTCCCATCTAGGTATTAGGCACATCACAGTACCATTTACTCATGTCTCAAGAGCAAATCTATCAGAGCTGCCAAAATAAAGCCGACGCCGTAAAAAACTGATTTAATTAACCACAAGAGACAATCTTTTCTGCCTGCCATCAGAATGACTGACGCTAGAGGCCTGGAGAGCAACATACTGCGCCTTCTCGCCCTCACGTTTTAAACAGACTTGAAATGGAGAGACTAGATCGAAGCAATAGCTGCATCGAAAGGTTGGTTCACTGTGTCGCTCCAGAAGGTGTTTCTCGTCAGAGTTCATCTTGCGCATTTACAAATCTACCAATCGACCGTGCATTTATTGATGTTACCATATCCGGTCTGGTGCTCCTGCTATTTATCTCGAGGTTCTTGACAAAATCCAAAGAAGGGTCTGTAATGTAATCCATCCTGGCCTGGCATTTTGACTTTAGTCACTTTCTACTCGATGTGGCGTGGCTTTTCTCATGTCTTTTCTAGAAATATTTTTTTATGGCAACTGATCTGACGAGCTTTTGCCTCTGGTAATCTGACTACGTGAATTTAAGCGTGCTACTAGATTGGCATCAACGTCTCAACCGTTTACTGTTGAAATAGTTAAATGCAACCACCACTTCTACTCCAACATTTTCTTTTCTCTCACTTCCCTCCTGTGGAATCCCCTTCCGTTTATTTGCTTCTCTGGTAACTACAATCTTCAAAATTTAAATGGAACGTTAACCGTCAACTTCTGTCATCTTGAATCCCGTTCATCTTTTGTCTTTTCCCCAAACCTCCCAAGACTCAATCTTTTCTTTCACTTTCACTCTCTTTAACCCCCTGTGTACTAGTAGCATTTCCACCTTGAGGCGAGTGAAATGATTAAAAATAAAAAAAGTCACCCGTCAAAATTATGTTTTGATTTGTTTCCGTCGGTAACGACAATGATGCTGTCTGTGGACCAGTTAATTTAGAAACATTTCAAAGTCGTTGTATGGTGTTACGTTTAAAATGTATCTATTACATATTTTTATTAATATCAAGCTATTCTTACGTTCTACGTTTCCAGCAACGACAAAACACAATTGACTACGCCACTAAACTTTTTTTATTCTCTTTTCCTTTATGATAAAAGGAGGTCGTTACTATCAAAATTCACAGATATTTTCCCTTTTCTGCGAGCCTCGATAATAACAATCATGCACCGAGTAATTTTCAATTCTTTCGTTTATTTTTTTTTAGTCTTCTGCTACAGTATGTAAATTCAATGTGAATATGTTCTTGCTTTTGTTTAACATCCTATTTTTGTCTGCTAACCATCAATGCTTCAGCAAGCTAATATAACCACATAAAAGACAAACATATTTTAAGTTAGTTAATACATGTCCTCTTTTTTACATAGATCTAATCTCTAATCAATTGCTAAAATATAATTTTCGAAAGTGAATGTTTTACTGAAATATGTTGGAAAATATTATTCAAATTCAAAAACATACAAGCTTTAAACAAAATGGTCAAAAGTATATGGACAAAAAGAAAAAAAACTAAACCTAGTAGAATATAGATTCAAATTCAGGCCTCCTAACGACTTTATTTGATAATCAATGGAGCTTGAAAAGAAAAAACGAAGGAAAGTTCTCCCAAAAAAGAATTCGATTAAATTCGATTAAATCCTTAATAATAAACATTATCTAAGTAGCAAATTTAAAAAGAAATTCAGGGAAAATGAATAGAAGAATGAGATAATTTTTATTAACATATCAAACAAAAAGAAAAGGTTTTTGGTGGGTGGGGAGTGACTACCCACAGAAACATTTTGAAAATGTTGATCAAGTCCAAAGTATATACAATTCCTTTTTCTGAAAATATTACAGGTGATAACTATTTAAACATGTGGGGTCTTTATTTATATTATTCGGACTATTGATCTCATCTTTGTCGCCATATTTATCACAACGTTCCGGCCTTCTTCAGGTGGTTGGAATGTCGAACTGAACCCTTTATTTCGCTCACTGGGGTAGACTGTTCTAGTTCCACGTGCCATGTTTGATGGATGTCAGTTATCAGTTATCTCCTGTTAATTTTCCCTCTGAAAGTTCTCCACTGCCTTAACCGGGTATTGAACTTACACTCTTTGGGTCTTGTCACTGGATCTATTCAGAGGGAAAATTATCAGGAGATAACTGATAACTAACATCCATCAAACATGGCACGTGGAACTAGATGAGTCTACCCCAGTGAGCGAAATAAAGGGTTCAGTTCGATATTCCAACCACCTGAAGAAGGCCGGAGCGTACAACGGCCGGAACGTTGTGATAAATATGGCGACAAAGATGAGGACAATAGTCCGAATAATGTAAATAATGTACATAATACCTCATCTCAGAAATATAGACAGACTATATGGGGTCTTTTTTTTACATGACATTCTCCAGAAAGCCTCTGTCAACAACGCTCTTCCAGCGGGTTGTCGCAAATATATATAACTAACGTCTGTCAGAGAATTTTAGTTTAGAAAATTACTAAATCAATAGTTTGAGAGATCAGAACTACTTATTTTAGCAGCAATGTCCATTCATATTACATTTGTTGAGGTGGGGCATTTTGATAATACGGTTACAGCAGAAAACACAAACCACTTAAGTTTTCAAAAAATTTCGGTGAAGAGACATATTGTAAATTTGCATTTATAGGAGTAGCTCATTTATTGAAAAATATTAATGTTTCTGTTTTTTACTAAAACGATTTTACTTTTTATTTCATTTTAGCTTTCTTTTATTTCGTTTTTCAAAATTGGTAATTTATTTGCGCTGAATATAGGATAGAGTTTTTTTTTTTCGATATATGAGGGTCAAGCAAATCAGTTAGTAGGAACCGACATTCGGACACCTGGACATTTGATTAGATTCTAGTGGCGAAGGCTTTATTCAGAGCCAACTACACTTTTTGAAGAGCCGAATACAGAGACCAGGTGCACTATGTGACACAAGGTCCCCAAACGAGTGTCCGCAGGTTTTTTTAATTCAGAGTTGTCTTTCTCCTAGAGCAGTTGCCATCCAAGGCTGTAGAACTTAATCTGTCCTGCTATTTACCCATAGATGGAGGGAGAAGAAGAGAATTCATACCTTTCCCAAGGGTAATAATACGTAAGTGAATGTAATGGATTCGACTAATATATATATATATATATATATATATATATATATATATATATATATATGTCTATGTGTGTGTGTGTGTGTGTGTGTGTGTGTGTGTGTGTGTGTGTGTGTGTGTGTGTGCGTGTGTGTGAAAATGTGGAATTCCCCAAAGATTTCGCTTGAAGATGGAACAGAGCTTAGTACTTTAATTCAATTTAATTCAAATAATTATATTGAAGTTTTCGGCTATTGTTTAGAAACATGAGAACTCTTATGTAGCGTGTTGGAATCATATTTTTAAATAAATAATTATATATATATATATATATATATATATATATATATACACAAACGAGGGTAATTCAAATATTATCCGCTCTTTCGCCATAACATATGTTTAAGTTTGACACGCTTTTCGTCAGTGGTGTCCGGCCAAATTTAAAATTCTAGATCCACTCATATATACTTCTACGCAGTAATGCATTGTCGCCGTACTTTGTTAAAAGCCTCCGCTGAATTTCAGTCCCTGAAATACCTTCCAACCAGATCAATCAGATCATTTCTTTCTTCCTCCCTGGTGCACATTTTGAGCGGAAAAGCTTCTATCACGTGAACACAATTGTACCAACTATAAGCACGCAATGGCAGAAAGCATTGTTGCATACTTAAAATATGACATGGGGAGAAAGTGCAAAGAATTTTTGACATACCCTTGTGTATGTGTGCGTGTCTGTATGTGTCTATGTGTGTGTGTATAGGCAATGAAATCTTTAGACGCTTTATAGCAACACGATCGCAGTTTCAACCACCAAGGTCTCTTCAGGTGGTTAATACAACAAATTAAATAAACTTCCACACACCAAAACTTAAATAAGATAAAGTTACACCGGAAGTAATCGGCTGTATTTGGGGTTAGTCCGCGTTCCTAGGTTCCTAAGTTTAACTTCCTTTCTTGTCTAAATGTTGTCATGATCTCTGTTCTTTCATTTAATAACTCTGCCATACCCTTATAAGTCGCAATAGCCAACTTCTCTTCCAGGCAAAGTCTACAGGAGACGCCATTTAGATTACAATTCCTCACTTTTCTCAGGATAGTCTATTCGATCGCTGGGCTTCTATTGTGAATCTCTCTAAAATCCCAATCATGCTTAACCAAACTTGCACAAAACTTACGTTTTGCTATTCTGAAAGAGGAACCATGGTTATACCATTTTTTTTTAATTGGCCCTGCGAACAACAATTATATGCCATTGCATTACTATCGCTTCTCTTTACTTCCGCACAATGTACTACTTTCTCATTACAACACCTTCCGTTCAAACGCCATTTATTCTTAAACCTACAGTTACACAAGACTGTATCTTCGCAGCTCTGGTTCACTTCAATGTTTGAATT